TTATTATTATTATTATTATTATTATTATTATTATTATTATTATTATTATTATTATTATTATTATTATTATTATTATTATTATTATTATTATTATTATTATTATTATTATTATTATTATTATTATTATTATTATTATTATTATTATTAATTAATTAATTATTTAGTTTGTTATTAATTATTTAGTTGATTACTTAGCCTGATTAGTTGATTTTCATTTTAGAAAGTCTTTTCAATTTTTAAAATTGAAGTTTAGGTATCAAATATTTTTCATATATAAATATATGATACATTTTTTCAACTTTTTAAAACTTTTTCTAATTCTGTTATGCCATGATTACATGCATAATCTAATCACAAACATTTCAAAAACTTCATTCTCGGCTTTATTTATATTCTCTTCCGTATTTTTTTTTTGTTTTTCTTTTCAAAATGCTTTTTTATAAAATGAAATAATTCATAAAATTTCGGTTTCATTCAGTAAATGATTTAATTGTTGATATTTCGAAACAACAGTCACTCCTCCTTGCTATTGAACAAATAGCAATGCTCTAGAAATTCATTGAACTTTTCCGGAAAGCAACATGTTAATGTGCAATAAAAAAATTCCTGGAAAACGATACCCTAATGTAGCATTGATAATTTTCCGGAAAACAATATGTTAATGTGCTGTAATAAATTTGTTTTAAAATATATGCTAATGCATCATTTAATATTTTCCGGATAATGATACGCCTATGCATTTTTTTTCAATCACTTGCTATTTTTATTGAAAATTAATGATAAAATTTAAAAATTTTGGAATAAAAAAAGATGAGATATGATATGATATGATATGAAATAATCACTAACATATACTCACCTCATCATCACCATCATAACTAATTTCTTCTGAATTTATTGAATTATTTTCCTTTTCCTTTTGCATTTTTTCATTCTCAATTTCATTCATTCTTTTTCGTAATTTTCGTCCTTTCCTTTTTAAATATCTCTTTTGCAATCTTTTATTATCACTTTGATCGTTTACCATTGGTGATTGTCTCGTATTACTATCCTGTCCATAACTATGTTTTCGATTTTCATCCTCTTCATGAAGTATACTTAATTCATGACGTTCATGTTGTTGTTGTTGTTGTTGTTGTTGTCGTTGTTGTTGTTGTCGTTGTTGTTCTTGTTGTGGCAATGAAATATGGTCTTCTAAAATTTGTAAGTTCATTAGTTCACCAATTGCTAAATAAAATGAAAGTGTTTTTTTCTTTATAAAACAAAATATAAATTTATTAATAAGCGTTAATGAAATAAATAAATTGTAAGAGTACTTTTTACTTATCATTCATTTCATTGTTAAGGTGTATTTCTTAAAAATACTTTTTAAAATCTTACGTATTTTTATGTTTGTTTCATCTAATACAGATGATTCAGCATCAGTTGCAGATTCAACACGTGATGTAAGACGTGTTAACCGTCGTTTAAATGCATTACGAATATCGCTTACTGTCGTACTTAATACAGAATTTCTCCTAAATTCACAGTAAAAAGAAAAAAAGAAATGATAACAATATGAAAATGGAATGATAATACTTTTTTTTTCAAGAATTATTTATCAATTATAGGAATAATTATTAATGCAAAAAGAAGTGAACTAGAATTAATATGTAAAACAAAATTTAGATAATTAATTGATGAATAATTACTCATAATTAACATATTATTATCATTTGCAATATGGAAAAATTTTGCCATTTCAGGCTTCATCATACTATGAGAATAACTCTAGACAACTTTAAACTAGGCTAAAATATATATTCACGAAAATTTCAAATAAAGCCGGAGAGGATTTTTAGTATAAGTTAATTGTAGTCAATAATTTAACTGAGATTTAAATCATGCCAAGGGATTTTAGTAGCCCGTACAATATTAGATTAACTTAGGCTCCTGTTATGATAGCCATAAAATTTTAATCTAGTCGTTTTAATATTATGTTTGTATAAAATTAAAAAAAAAAGCCAATTATTACAAGTGATTTGTTGTCATTTGAAATTTTGACATAAATTATTATTTGTTATTTAAAATAATTAAAATAATTAACAAATTAATTTACCTTCCACCATCATATTCACTACTTGGTAAATCACTATCCGAATTTAGATCTAGCATTTCCTTCATTATCATTTGTGTACTTGTTCTTCGGCTGAAATTTCAAAGCTTACAAAGTTTGCTAGCTATTAAATGAAAAACTTTTCAAATTAGAAAAAAAAGAAAAGGTAAAGTTTTAATTGAATTATTGAAAAATTAAAAAAATTAACAAAATCATTTAATAAAATTTCAAAAAATTGCTAAAAAATCTTACAGAGTTTTAAAATATTTTCACAAATGTAAGGAAATATGAAAATAAGTTAAGAAAAATGAATGATGAATAAATTTAAAGAGAAAAATGTGTTTAAAAATTAAATTAGATTTAATCAATTCTTTAAAAGTGTAAAATACTAGTTAGTGCTTGAAACTGATCCAGTTTGCGGATTGTATCGTTCATTAACCGCATCAACACTATACATTGGTCCCGGTGTTTTCAACATCCAGAACTGATCCTTAATCAATGGTGGTTCCCATATTTGATCCACTATTGTCATACCAACCTATGGATTAATATCAGAACATCATCTATAATATTAACATCATTTCCTTTTTTCAAAAAAAAAAATCAAATTTAAAAAAGAATCAAAAACTTAGGAATCAAAGACTTCAAAAAGAATCAAAAACTTAATTTGGAAAAAAATCAAAAAAATTGAAAATTAATTTGCAAAAATTCATAAAGTATTCAAATATGCAAACGAAAAAATGTAAAAATTCATATGTTTGTATTATTATTACATTAACTGAATATATCAGATTGACATACATATATCTAAAATATTAGGTATGCTGAAGGTTTGTTAAAGCAAACCTGCAAATTACGATCAATAAGCCAATTAATTTCCAGGTCATCATCATCATCACCAAATGGATTCATCAAAACTTCAGCAACTTTCATCCAACCCATATAAAATATGAACTGACACATTGATATGAACGGTATATGCGTGTTAATCTCAACAAAATTTATGCTAATTCGATTTTTTAAGATAGTAATAAAGAATTGACCTTTTAAAGTTCAACTTTCCATTAATCCGGTAGTCGTAATTATTACGATAATATCATATATCAATGTAAATAATTATTACTATCTATAATTTAAATTAATCTGATTGATAGTTTTGATATTTTGTACATCACAAGAATTTAATATTTGAAATGATTGATTAATTATTAAAGTATAAAGCTATTATAAATAAAATTGCATATTTATCGATTTGCATATTTCATTCAATTTTTTTCTGATCCTTGAAAATTTATAGCATTGTTGAAAATTTTTCTGATAGAATTATAAATTTTATAATTTCGAATAAAATTTCAAGGCACTTTTTTTTAAAAAGGAAAGAAAAAAAGTTATACTTTAAAATGAATCAGTTAATCATACCTGTAATTCCCACAAAATGAAATAATTTATTATTGTTTTAATTTAAAATTATGACATTTTATTTTTTATTGATGACTTTAATTAATGTGAAATCAAAAAATTTTATAATTTATTTGAAATAATTTATTAAAAGACAAACTGTATCAATGTAATTAACATCAGATGATGGTGCAATATTTTGATGTCCCATTAATGCAAGTAAAAAATACAATCGAACGGTTAAACACATCACTTGTGAATAAACCAATGGTATTGGTACCCAATCCATAATAATTAATTTCGATAATTGTGATCGAAATGAATTTATTTTCTAAAATTAAAAAATTTTATTTAAAATAAATTGTTAAAAAATAAAAAATTTATTTCTCGTTTTTTGATCTTTCATCTTTTTTTTTCTGAGAACAATTTTTTTTTTTGTTTCAAAAATTTTACATCAAAAATATCTTGCAATGCTTGCGGACTATCAACACGTTTTTCACGTCGTGCACGTCGTGCTAAACCCATTGCCCAAAGAATTGGTACCCAATATTTGCGATTTGTTGAAACAATCGCATTAAATTGTATTAATTCAATTTCTGTTACATAACCTGAAAAAAAATTTTTTTTTTAAAATAATATAATAATAATAATTTCATTTTAATAAAATTATAAAATAAAAGAAAAATGTTTAACAAAATCAAAAGTTATTAATTTACATATTTTATAATTTATTCATTTATTAATCTGTATTAATTTAGCAATTTTTGTCATTATCCAAATTTAATTTAATTAATGGAAAAACATCTCTTTGCTTTTTTTTTCGAAAAACAATTAATTATTTGTTAAATCAATTAATATTTTAAATGTGATTTTTTGATTTTTTATGATTTTTTGATTTTTTAATATTTTAAAAAAGTTAACGAATAAAAGACAATTGGGAGTAAGAATTTTGGAAAATATCATTTTGCAAAAATTTTATTGCTATTTAATTATTTGATCATTTTCGCTTCATCATAGCGTTTCAATTATAAAATTATTTTGCATACCATAATAAGTTGATTTAAAATTATTAAAATTAATTGAATTATTTTACAAATGAATTACAAAATAATTAAAAGTTTTTACCGGCTGTTACCAATGTTTCCAATGAAGGAAATCTTCGACGTATTACTTCACTGATATCACGATATACAAGTACCTTAAGATAAAGGCGCAAAATTAAAATTCATCGGATTTATACATCATAAATTTATCCAATAGAATACGATAGAAATTAAATTATAAAATAAAAAAATTTAAAAAGTAAAATTTCAATTTTGAAAAAAAATGAAAGCATTGCTGCAAAAATTTAACTCTGAAATTTTTAAAAGAATTTCAAATCCTTTCTGAACAAAGCAAATTAGTTATTTATTATCGAAATAAATTTACAGCATTTTAAAAATTATTAATTAAAATAATTTGTAACGTTTGGAAAATAATTAATTAAGAAAAGAAAGATGTATTGTGAGAATTAAGAAATATTTTATATAATTATTCAAATTTATAGCACTTTGAAAATTTGCATTGTTTTCTGCATTATAATAATAAAAAATAAACTTTTTCGTTTGCTTCTTTTTCAAATTATAAGTTTTCTTTAGAAATTTTTAAGAGATTAAAATAATTTTTCATATACTTGATAAAAAAGTAAGTAACGAATTATATTGCGTCGTAACAATCGAGCATGATCATCATTCCCGGAAATATGTTTGCATATATATAAAGCTAATCTGTAAAAAAAAAAAAAAAAAGCAATAATTAACTCAATTATTCATATCTTTATTATATATATATATATATATATATATATATATATATATA